GATTTATATTCTTAGTATAAATGCCTGATAAAATCTTCTCAAAATAATTTCATCATATCCTTTTCTATATTTTATATAGTTTTGACAGTTTCAGCTTTCGTCATATTGAATAGATTTCATTGTATTCTTTATTATAATTTTAATATGGTTTTGTCTAAGTTTTAACTGTTATTAAAGGGTTTCATCTCTCATCTATAATCCTTAATTTATGCTATAATATACAAGTCTCTATTGTATATTATATTGCAATAGATCCTAGTTTAAAATTAACTAAGTGTAGAATTGTAATATTAATTTACTGCAGATTTTACTAGTTATATTTTAGGATTAAATTTCATAAAATGTATACAAACTATACATATTATTACGACCAGTTTTTTAAGATGCTTATGGGTGATAAGCGAAGCAATATATATAGATAGTAAGCAGAAGGTTTAATTTGATATTTAGATTTAAGAGAGTGTCAGTAAATTAACAGTTTATTTAATAACTATAACAATGGAGTACTATCTTAGTCAACGCTCTGTACTATACAATTATGTTAGAAGAATTAAACTAAACTATTGTATAAAACTATGAGTCAGACACACTGCTAAGCTAAAATAAGTTGTTCTCTATTTATATAAAATAGAAAATATAAAGTTACCAAAGATATAAAAGAAATAAATATAATAAATAAAATATATGAAATAAGTAAAATATAATAGATATATAAGATAAATAAAATAAAATAAATAAAAGAAATATATTGTATAAAAGAAATATATGCTATAGATGACATAGATGACATAGAAGACATATATAATTTCTTAGAAATCAATATCATCCTTTAGATCGTTATCATCTATATCTTCTTTCGTGTAATAATATGAATAGATTACGAATTTATAAAATATGTTGACCTTTAAAGCTATCTATGTAATAATATTAATCTCAAATCTTTCTATTTATATGTAGAGTTATAGTTAGTAAACTTACTAGAATCATTATGAAAGATGGAATCTATGATGTAATAGGGGTTGAATTGTAATTGGCAAGTGCTATATCATCTATTTAGAATTAGCCTTAAGATAATATTTAATGATAGATATGTAAAATAATAACATAAGTTATAAATTTTAGGTGTTTGATCTTGCATTTTTTTTAGCTATTATATGTCTAAACCTTATGCTAGAAAGAAAGATTAAATTCAATTCTTAAGTTATTTGATAGTATGGTAAATTTGATCATTCCTTAAACCTCTATCCAGTAATATAGTTAAATATCTAATAATATTAGAATACTATCTATTAGTCTATAGAGACCTTTAGTTAGAATCTTATTCTAGATATAATACCTGTTAAACTAGTTATCAAATACATTTAGCGTAGTTAAAATAAACTATAAAAAGTGTTAAGTAAGTAAAATTATCATAATTTAGGATCTAATTTGATGTCACCTGTTGATAAACTAGCTAAACCTATAGTTAAATTAAAAACTAAAAAAAAATAATTTAAGTTATATAAGATATTTTTAGAATTTTATATTATTAAAAAACTTTTCAAAACTTTCAAAACTCTCAAAGTATTAAAAATAAATTTTCGCAAATGTTTTCAAATAGTAATTAATTAAAGAATTTAATATTTTATATAATTTATTCTTTTAATTATTCTTAACTTTATTTATATAAAAACTATTCATAAAAAATTAATAATAAAAAATACTTTTCAAAAGGAAATAAATAATTTAATATTATCTTTAGCTAAGATGATATTTAATTAGAAAATATTGATATTTCTTATATTTTCACCTGTTTATTTAAAAGATTGATCTTATTTGACTTTACTTGTTTATTTAAAATATTCTTCAAGAGATTTATTGAAAACTTTTTCAGTCATTAATAATATATAAGTTGACAAATAAAACAATCATAATAATTTCAATGATAACTATTTTAAAACTTCACAGAAATATTTGCCTAATATCAATGATAAAATAAAATATTTAAAAATGAAGACTTTATTTACTTATTGATAATAAAATTAATTCATTATATAAATTTATAAATACATTAGAAAACAACAATTTGAAGATTTTAAATTACTTTATAAGCTTAATAAACTTTATAATAATTTTTAAAATATAAGTAATTTAATATATTTAGCAATTTTATTATTTTATTTTTTTAAGATAATTAAAATATTAACTATTATTACAATACGCCTATAAAGAAATTTAAAAAAACTTATGTCTACATCTTTATTTTTATTAATAATTAAATATTAAAAAAATATCTTAAAAAAATGCAAACTATTACATTTAAACTATTGAACTTAATAACTAGACCTTAATGTTTAAAATAAAATTATTATCAAAAGTATGTGAAATATTAGAATAGAAAAAATATTCTAATTTTTTTTTGAATTTTAACTTAAATGAAATATTAAAGCAAACGCAATAATTTTACTTTAAATATTTGAAATATATTATTTTTAATTTTAAAAATCAATTAGAATATATAGATAATAATGTATTTTTAATAAAGATTACTAAATGAAATTAAGACCTAAAAACTCAAGCTGCATATAAAAAACTTTTTTTAAATCATGATCTTTTTCAAAAAATCAGATACTTTATTTTAAATAATATAAAGAGAAAGATTTACTGAATATCTATTATTATATTTATATTCTCTTAATTTATAACATTCTTTTAAATTTAAAAAATTTAGGTATTAAATGTCATGATAAATCTGTCACAGTAAAATTAATGCTTATTTAATAAATATTATTTACAATATTTTTGAAGTTTGAAAGTATTTTGAAAAATTTTACAAATATTAATAATATTAATATATAATCAATTAATAGCATGATTATCAAATTTAAAATGGGTTTAGGTAATTAACTTTGATCACTTTCTGATTTCTAAATAAGTATTTGATTTTATAATTAATCTTTATATGTAAAAATATAAAAATACCAACATTTCTGTCTTCTTTATAATTAATTATTATATTATTAAAGGCTTCAAGATTACTAAAATTACATATTAAATTTAAATGTAAAAGATTTATTACATTATATAAAAATATATATTACAATAATTTACAATATAAAATTTGCTTAAAATTTTTTTACAAAATAAAAGTTATATAAAAATAAGTAATTTTTAAATTTGCTATTTAAAATAAAAATAATAAATTAAATCAGTAATATTTAAGATATCTAAAGTGGTTATAATCTGAAATAATTATATAGAATATCTGAAATATTTATTTGGAAGATTAAAGAAAAATCTGTAATATGGAATTTGAAAATCATTATTTACTTTGCAAGAAATTCGATGCAAAATATTAATGCAGAAGATAAAGAAAATAAAAATTGAAAACTTGTATGATATCAATTATTTTCTGCGAATTAATTTTTATTTTATCAAAAATTTTTGATCACAATATTTTATTTCAAGAAAAAAATTATCTAAATTTTTTTTTCTGCAGATATTTACTGTAGGAGAATCAAAACAAAAGGGCTAAAATATATTTAAAAATAAATAAATAATAAGAAAACGAGCGAGAAAATTTACAGCGAAAGAAAAAAAAAAAAAGAAAAGAAAAAGAAAGTACTTTCACTATAAGAGAAAGGTCATAATAAAATCATCTTCAGACTTATCAAAAGTCATAATATATAATAATATATAACAATATAGTTTTGTACTAATAATGTATATTTATGATACATTGAAAAGTAAATAAGTTGAAAGTTTACATAAAATATACCACACGTGGTGTTATTCTTGAAAAAAAAAAAAGTCATTTTCCACGTCTTTCTTTTTCAATTTGTCAAAAGACCATTCATTCACTCTGTATAGTCTAATACTGTAAAATCCAAAAATGACAAAAAATTTTTCGATCATATTAAAGGAAATGAATGGATAAATTGAGAAAGAAAGAAAGAGAGAAATGGAAAAAAAAGGGAAAGGGATCATGTGTGTGATTGTAAATTGGGCACTTATCACACGCAATATAAAGAGGGTGACAAAAAACTAAAGAAATAAGAGGTAAATATTCAAATAATGGCAAAAGGATTAAAAAATCCCTGAATGTAAGCTTAATATAAGGAATTTTTTTTAAAAAGGTGGTTTTTTTCATAATTTTTTGTCTTAACGAATTTAAAAATAAACGTAATGAATAAAAAGAAATAAATGGTAAATAAATAAATAAAAATATAATGATAATGATAATAATAAAAGATAAGATAGTAAAACATAAATATAAATAATTTGTTTATGTGAATGGAAAGGTAAAGAAAGCCGAACAAAAGCGCAGCAACTTCTTTCCTAGAATTCAAGTAATTCAAAAAGATAAAAAATCTTAATTTAATGATTTCGAATCATTCGAAGGATAATATCATGTTATTTTGGGAGTGAATTAAAAACATAAATGTGTGTTGATTTCTTATTATTTACATTTCTTTTGCAATACCAGGGACGATAGTTAAAATAATGATAATAATAAATAAAAATAAAAACGATATAAACCTTATTTATCTCGATTTTATTATGTTAAAATTAGCCGTTGAAATTTTTTTTTTTTTTCCTTTTTTTGTCGTTTTTCTCATGTTTTATTGAAATTTTTTTTTTTCACCAATGAAACCGTATTCCATAAATCAAATTCACAGAATTTTTATCATGGAAACACTTCAATGATCAAATCTTTTGTTAAAATCTTTTCTTTTGTTCACACAATGTCCTTTACATTATCGTCCAGCAAAAAAAAAAAAAATCAAACACACATCCAACTAAACTATCGAACTCATATAATTGAAATTCATCCTTTTTTTTTTTTCTTCTTTGATCAATTACAGTGGCTAAGAGATGATCAAATTTTTTTTTTAGTTAATTTTTTATTCCTTTGCTAAAGGATTTCAACATTTTGCGTCTTCAAAATCAAACTTCTGAAGAACCTCTCCCACTTCTCAAATTACAATTCATCAAACTTCCTTGTCGAATAATTAATGTCTTTAGTATAATTCAACTATACCATCAAAATTAATATCAACGCCAGTTTCTTCAGCTTCTTCAATGAAGGTATCCAGTATATCATAAGCCTCTCTCCCTAACTTTAAGAATGATACATTAGCATAGAATTTAGGAAAATTTTCCGTATTGATTAAATCTAACCAAGCATCATCATCATGATGATAAAGCCAATGTAGTATGGGTTCAAAAACTTCAGGATAAGGTATTGGAATTGTTAAAGTATTTGAATATTTAGGACGATTGCCTGATGAATTTATTGGACCTAGCAGTTGATTGAAGAAGCCAGATTGTGTCGCCAATACTAATGTATGAGACCAAAAATAATACGTTGAGGAAGAAGGAGTAGAAGAATGTTTATTGAATGTAGGAGACGTGGGCGATGTGGGAGGGGAAGCAGGTGGGGTCAGTTGTTGTTGATGTTGATGTTGCAGTGATTGATGAAAATTATTTTGTTGCCGTTGTTGTTGATGCTGCTGTGATTGGTAAATACTATAAAGGTGTTGCTGGTAATTGAATAACATGACATTAAAGTAATTCGTGATTTCAGCAGCTTCCGAAGCCGAAACGGTTGAATTACTGCAATTTATTATAGTTGCATTTCCCTTTTCGTTGTTTACGCTCGAAGATATGAAATAATTACAATAATAATCGATTTCAGTCGTCCTGACGACTCTTAATAAGAAATCGGAAGTAAAATTATTTTGCCAGTGTTGTGGACCAATTTCATCTAAATTTTTTAGAAAATAAGCGGTTGGGATTAATTTATTCGTAAAAGGATCTTTGTAAAATGCTGGAGTATGATCTGTTTGTTTATACATTGGCAAAATTACTCTTTTACGATTTGATAATATTGGTAAACCCATTATTTTATTTAGTGATAACGAAGCGTGCGTAAGTCGAGAAATGTCTAATAAAATTTTTTTTTCTTTTCAATTAAGAAAATACTTGATTCTTATCTTTTTTTTTTTTTTTTTTTGTCGTTAAAAAAGATCAAAAAAAAAAATGGTAAAAATTTTTTTTTTTTTGATATAAGGAATAGCGTATATTATTAAATTTTTTTTTTTTAAAAAAAAAAAAAAAAAAAAAAACTCTACTTTTTTTTTCGAATATTCTAAATATATATATAAATAAAGAGAGAGCCTCTTCAATAAAAGAAAGAAAAAAAAATTTTCCAGGATGATAAGAAAAAGGTTAATTTATGGGTTATATATACACGCCTTCACTTTATAATAAAAAAGTTTGGAAGAACCGATGCCCTATTTATGTGATACTATTGTTTTACATAAAAGGTAACAATGGTTAATTACGTTTGCGGCGAACAAAATATTTTAAAATCAAATAATATAAAAAAAAAAATTATAAATATATATGTTTAGAAAAAGTTTATATAAAAAATATATATATATGTTTAAATATATCCCTCGATTGTAAAAAAGCCTAACAAATTCGATCATTGACGGAAAAGTGAAATCATTAGATATATGTGGAAGACAAAATAAAATTTTTTTTTTTTTGTTTTGAGACTCCCAAGTTTATATTTATATTTATATTTTTTTTTACTAAACTAACGAATGACATGAGCACAAAAAGTCAAACTAAATTCGGAGCTTATTTTAAGCAGCGTGTTTATAAAATTGATGTACTACCCCAGCAAAAACTAATCATCTTTATTGTTTATTATGTCGATTTTAAATTGAGAATTAATTAGTTATTTCCGAAATGCATTTTTGATCGACCATATGGATGATTGATGATAGGTTATAATCCTATCCCCCCTAACACTAATTATAGAATAAACATGAGAACTTTTAAATATAGTACGATGATTATTTGCGGAAAATATAAATTATCATGACCCGAGCAAAAAATATAAAATCAGAGTTGTTAGTGGCGCGCCAAAATGGATGGTCGCACAAGTCAGCTGAGATAATGAATTGTGGCCTATTGTTCCGGATGTTTGTTTATCTTTTAGTTGTCAATTTTAGGACATCAAAGCAAAATCCAAAACACACATTCCTTAACTCAGGGCCGATATTTGAAATCCATGTTTGGATTTTTAATTTTAGTATTCTTCGCTATCCACCGATATTGGATTTAATATTTATTACCAGGCCAGGGAAAAATTAGTTAAAATGTTTATTTACTAAATGTCCATTAATGGAAATATTCAGCGGGTAATATCAAACATTGCGCCAAGATCTTAAAACGTTAAGGAAAGGATGCTCTTATTTCCTTCAAATTATGGACTTTTGTGTATTTTACTTATTTTACTCCTTTTCTTTTTCAATAACAGTCTTTTCCCGATTTGGTTCTATTGTTTTCGATTAATATCTTCGATTCATGCTATTGCGCGCTATTAGTGGTAAGACTATTTTTTTGAGAATTAATAAACTCCAGTTCATTTCATTCACAAAACTTGAACATAACATGACATGGCATAGCAGTACATATTTAGGTAATTATAGATGAGATGCCAACAATGATTATATTCAAATATAATGATTATGGAATGACCTTTTTTTTTAATTTTATTTTATACAATGACCCTCTAATTTTGGCATGAGCACCTGACCTTTTTAAACGGGATCATGTTCTAATGATGATGGTGGTGAAAAAAGATTAATTAATTGATAACGCACAGATTACCGTAGATGTAATTTATGAATGGATCTATTAATGTATCTAGGGGTAAACCCATTCCTCGAATGAAGTCCTTTTATCAATTACGCGTTTTATGAGATCTTGATGTTCGTTGATAAGAAGGTAATGACTTATTCGTTTAAGGAAAAAAAAGCCTTTTTACTTTTTTATCGATTCAACGGGCTTCCAATTTTCGACTTTTGTTTTCTTATGTACTAAAAATGGCATTTAACAAGTCCGCGAATTTCATCATCGTCGTCAAAAATAGATTTATAATAAGGCTTTATCTGTATTCATTCAAAGGTGTATGTAAATAAGGAATTAATTTACACGTGTAACGGGAAAACGTAAAAAGAAACTCGTTTAATTTCGCGTTTTTTTTTTTCTTTTTTTTTTTTTAAATGGTTTGAAAAATAACAAAATAGTTTCAATCATCTCAAACTAGTTTTCCCATGTTATTACATCACATGAAACGGAAAAAGCACCATGTTACTTGATTTAAGATTGACGCAAGCACTTTTATAATTACGTAAGACGGTTGTACAAATCGATTCCCAATTTTTGGGTTTCATTTAAATTAATCGTGAGAGGTTACAAAACAATGATTTTTGGTTTAGTTTCGATTTCGTTTCATGTAAAAAATTACCACAGTTTTTTTTTTTAGGCGCATTTCAATCAACAACAATACAACTTGCATTATTCATTATAATGTAATTTCACACTCTGTTGTCAAAATTTAGACATCAAATTATTTTTAGCGTTTGTGGCTTGAAATCCAACATAATGTGACTTTTTTGTTCATTTTCTGATTGGGTGACGAACTTTGTGGTTGAAAAATATCGAACAGCGTTATTTGTTATGTTAATTTTTTTTTATATTCACTTCTAAATATGGAAGGTTTTAAAAAAAAATTTATACTATTTAATTGTTGTTTAGATAAATAATAATATATCACAAAAAAAAAAAAATAAAATAACAAAGAATTTTTTTTAAAATTCTATTAAGCTTAAATAAAAATTCTTTAAAAATTATTTGTTATATGTAAAACATGTTTCAGATTTGGAAAGGCATTAATTAACTCAAATTGTTGCCCTTCGTTTTTTCTTTCACAACAGTTAATCAAAATTGGATTACAAGGTAAAGGTTAAAAAGTTTTTTAAGGGAATTTCTTCAATGGTTCAATGATTGAGTAATAAAGATTGGTTACTTTAAGATGGTTATGGTATTTGTTATACCGCGAGCTATGATGCATTCGTATCTTTTAAATCATTGGATTCAAAATTTACTACTAACGAATTACATTAAATAATAATAATGTTAATCATATTTGTTATTAACGATTCCGCATAATCACACATTTAATATTAATATTACTGGATATGGTCACCTCAATAAAAGGTATTATGACTTTCTAATTTTGTATGTCAAGGAAATATTAATCTGTTTTTCTTGTGTGTAGTGATATTTATTCGCGGATTGGAGGTTTGTTGTGTTCGTGTAACATAAGGAAAATTTTTTATATAAATAAAAGAAGCAAAGAATATTGGAATCATCTTTGCACGTGATTGTAAAAATTGAACCCGTGGCATAAATGAACTAAATGCGTATAACTATAGTATTAAGAACGCGTCAATTTCAAGAGTTTTGTTTTTATAAGCAAAAAGAGAAAAAGAAATGGAATACTAACCCTTTTTTTTTTCACACATTCACGTATATGGAAAGGTATTTTAACTTGATTATCTATTCGACTCTTTATTTGGAAATAAATGATTTTTATTACAGATAATTTTTAGTGTACATTTTTAAGTTTTTTTTTTTTTTTTTTTCTTCGTTTCAACTAATAATTTTTTTTTATTTCCATTGTACAATGATGAAACCTGTTATCAACTTGTACGTGAATGTAGTTCATAGATGGATTAAAGAGATTTCAAATTAGCCATGATGTTTTAATAAAACTAAATTTAGAAATGTAACATAGTTAATAAAATTTCGGGAATCATTAACAATAAGTACAAGTATTAATTTGGTTGAAATATTTCTTAATCTTAAATTTTATTTTCTCCTGGGGTTCATATATCATGCGGATAAAGCTTTATTTGGGGGTGATGGTTATACATCAATGAAAGGGATAATATTTATCATATATTAGTTATTTGGCATATGATCGATATGTAAGTTGGCTAAAAAAAAAAAAAAAGAGTCATTGAATCCTAAACATTTACACAAAACATTATAATAAATTATGGCGTAAAATTACTCCTTTGAATGCACTAAGGTTTTGTTTAATGTTTCGTATTTTTTTTTTTTTTTAACAATGTATTTGTTGTATGACGGAAAATGTTCGGGAGTTCCTTTTGATTATCAAAATATACTGGAAGAATTAACAAATTATATAAGTAATGATATGCGAGATATTACCTAAAACGAAGTTTTATTGTTGACCAAAGGTAGATAAAGAAATTCTTTATTATTGAATTTAATCCGTAAATTTTCCGGTCTTTGTGAGTGTGTAACTTATCATATTATCAAATTTGGGTATGTAAATAGATTCTAAAAGAGGGAATTTAAACAAGAGAAAGGAAAAAAAAAAGGTTTAAAACTCAATAAATAATGTTCTTAACAATTGAATTGAGAAAGTCGTATTGTTTTATTCATGCAAGAAGATCGAGAAACCGAAAGGAAAGACGTAATTCTTTTCTATTCCTCAATTGTGAACTAAACGATAAAAACCATTAAAATTTCCACATTAACTAATTTATGAAGCAATTGCCACACCAGTCACCTTCTTATTGCTAAATTAAATAATTCTTCCGTAACCATTGAAATGAAAAACGTAATAACTCCATTGTTTGATATTCGTGTAACAATGTTCATTGTCTTTTATAACCCAAGAAATATTATTTAAAATTTTTTTTTATAAAAAAAAAAATAACATTTACTAAAGTCAGGTGTAAAGAAAATGCATAGGCAACAATAGCAAATTTATATCTTTTAATCTCATTATTATCTAGCATTTCAATGGAACATAATTACACAACATCTATTGACTTTTTAGGATTCATTCTTTTGGTGAAGTATATTAAAATGTTCCTTTGAAAATTTCTTTAAGTAGGCATTTTTGGAACCGTGCAGAAATATTTGGGAACAAAATTATCCGATTTGAATGAGCATTTATTGAACTTGATCTTTCTTGGATAAAAAAAAAAATTTTTTCAAAGTCACATGAAATTTCCAATTATACTGCGGAATGAGTAACCATAGATTTGGTAGAGTTCGAAATTTGACATTTTTGATAGGTTTCTTTGTTTATATTACTTTTTTATATTTTACCATTGTTTAAATTTTAATAATCGATCTTTTAACATGTTGAAGCCCAAACTAAATTCGTTATCTCCATGACGTTAAATATGACGTTTATAAACAAAGAAAACATAAACAATGACGAGAAATATATTTATAGCGAGTTATTGCTGTGGGAATTCTTTCTTTTAAACAAATCAAGTTCAATCAATTCTTTTAGGAAAGAATAAAAATGTTAATTTTTCGGTATTTACACATGATTGCATATGATAGTAATTTAAAAGCGACATAATGATGTAATATTATAATTTTGGCCCGAATTATGTAATGTGGTATCAAAGCACGTGATAAGAATAGGAGTCATTTACTTGACATTGGATGTATATAAAAAGAGGTAAAAAAATCCACGTTTTCTCCTCCTATACCTAAACATAATACTACATTATAATAGATAATTATAATAATCATATAATATTAACAAATTATTTATTTTCTTATAATAAATTTATAAAGAATAATAATGGTAAAAATTTTTATTATTAATTTATAAAAACTTTGGATCTTTTTTTTAATTAAATATTGCTTATTTTTTAATTAATGATAATAATAATATTATTTTTTGAAGTAATAAAAGATATAAAATATTAAAATAGTATCTAAAGAAAGTATTTTATTTATTATTAGTAATTTAAATAATAATGTAATAAGAAATTGTTGGATTTAAAGTTTTAAAAAAATTATTATTTTTTAAATTCTTAAATATAAATATAAAATAATTTAATAATTTATAGGTAATATAATAATAATATTTTTTTTTATAAATAAATTAATATTTATTAAAACTAAAAAATAAACTTAATAATTTAATATTGATATTAAAAGATTATAATCTCAAAATTTTGTTAATAAAAAATTTTTTATTTTTTATTTAAATTGTATCATATATATTTAAAAATATAAAAATGTAAAATTTTAAAAAATTACTTTAGTGATCAGATTTATCATCAATTAATAATATATTTTTATCAGACTTTTTAGTATTTTCTTTAAAATATAATTATAATATATACAGATTAATTTTTTATTTAATACATTTTAATAATATATTTTGTATAAATAAAAGTTTAAATATAAATTAATTTGCAATTTAGCTCTTTACAATTTTAAATATCTCTAATTAGCTAAAGTTTACAATAATAAAAAAGATAAAAAAAACTTGACAATTATATTATTCTATTATTATAACATAAATATTTTCTTATTTTCATTTTAACTAATTTCAAAAGTTTTAATCTTCTTAATTATTAAAAAAAGTAATATTATGAATAATTAATCAATTAGCTATTTTTTTTTATACTTAAAATTATAATATTTTTAATTTATTATTTACTGATAACTTGCTTTATCTATATAAATATTTGTTAATTCATATTTTTTATGAAAAATTTTACAAAGAGTAAAGATAATATTATAATTAAAATTGTAACTTAAAAGTTATAATTACCAATTGCAATTTTTTAAAAATTTAATTATAATTGCAGCTGATTTAAAATTGCAACTTTTATTATAATTGTAATTTTAAAATAATTGTAATTTTTATGATAATTGTAACTTTAAAATAGTCATAATTTTTATGATAATTACAACTTTTACAATAATTGTAACTTTAATTATAAATATAATTTTTATAATAATTGCAACTTATATAATTATATATAAAACTGAAATTATTTAATTTTGATTATTTTGGATTAAAGATAACGTTACAATTAATTGCAACTATATGATGCTTATTTGTTACCAGTTGCAACTAGTTGTAATTAGATTTTTATTAATATTATAACTAATTATAACCTTATAATACTTATTTATTACTAATTATAATTAGTTGCAATATCATCTTTATTTTAAATAGTTCTTTCTCTCTCTTTCTCTTAAAATAACTAAAATAAATTTTGACTTTTTGTTAAAAAAATTATAAAGTTGAAATTTATTATGATGATTAAAATATATTATAATAGTTGAAATATATTATAATAATCAAAATACATTATGATAGTCAAAATATATTATAACAATAATAATTAAAATAGAAAATAATTAAAATTAATGATTTAATATTTTTTAAAATTTTAAAATTAAATTAAATTAAAATATTAAATTTAAATTACTTTATTTATTATTTATATAAAAATAAAATAAAAAAAATAATACTAAAAATAATTTTATAAAATAGTAAAAATTGATAAAAGAAAATAATTTAAAAAATCTAATTTTTTATATAATAATATCTATTTCTTTTTTATTACTCTTGCAGTTTTTTCTAATAAAATAATTATATTAGTATATTATATTAAATATCACTTTCATTTAAATTAAGTTTAGCTATATTATATATAGCTTATTTTTGCTAATATTATATAAAATTTAATGTTATTTTAATTGTAATACTATATTCAGAATAAATAAAAAATTTTTCATTTAATTATAATAATTTTATAAATAAAACTTATTGTAAATTCTGATTAATTTTTATCTTGATATCCTTTAGCTTTATAATTTTTTGCATAAAATATTACCTTTATCATTATTACTAGAAAATAGAAACTATTGTAAAGTCTGGAGTTTTTTTTATTTCATATAAATATGCAAATACAAAATTAACTAATCAAAAATTACGCATGCGGACAACCAGATATCACCACGTAACCATATTTATAACTACCTTACATAAAAGTATATAGTCCTTCGTTACACTCTGAACTAATTATTAATTATACTTACTTTTTGTTTAAATATCTTATGATATTATAGACTATTTCTTTAACTATTTTACCTACAAATTTGTTAACAATTTTATTTATTATTTATAATAATTTTAAATATTGTAAATATTTTAAAATATATTATTAAAAATAATACTTTTATAATAAATTTTATAATATTTTTTAAGTAAAAATTAAAAAAAATATAATTAACTAGTGATTTTTTTAAAAATAAATAAGTAATAAATTATTATAAAAAAAAATTAAAAATTTAAACTCATATATCTTGCTATCTATTAATCTTAGAAATATAAAAATATTACCATTTAATAAATCTTAATGTGATGAATTTAAATAAATTAAATTTTAAATTTTTATAATTATTAAATAATAAATAAAATAGTACTTTATAATATAGCTTATTCACATACTGTATTTACATAATAACAAAACTATTTAATGAATATTTTAATAAATTTTTATTAATAAAAAACTTTTCTTTTGTATAAAATCTTATGACTAAGTATTTATGAAAAAAATATTATTATTATTACTTAAATATATTGTGAAAATATGAAAGGTTATAAGAATACCACTAACTTTTTCATCATTAGGTATAGTCAACTCTCTATAAATACACTCTATATAAATGCACACCCTTTTTAAATGCACTACTTAGCTCAATCTTAAGTTAAAGAATTAGTGCTAAATGCACTCTTTTCTTTATATATGATGCAATAATTTTTTAATTTTATATATATAAAATTTTTTAATAAATGCATTTACGTAACTATGTGATTATAGATTCGATCAGAGTTATAAATTATCTAATAAAATAATGTATCATATTGCTATTTATAATATAATACATCTGCTATATATTATATAATATGCTGCAATTACGATAATACTATAATATTACAGTTTACACTTATATTATTTGAGTATTATGTCTCCTAAAAAAATTACTCTAACTAATATATAAAAGTATGAATTCTATTTTTATGCTAATAGTAATAAAAAGAACTGACTCCATTATATAAATTAAGTTAAAGAAAAGTAAAAAATTGTAGTTAACAAATCTACAATAACAAGAATCTTATAAATAAAAGAAAAATGATTTTTTACTGAAATTCTTAATCTAAAATAAAAATAGCGAAAAGCTGTTATCTACCTAAAGCTTAAGTTTACACTTAAGGAATTTGTATTGAATTATCAGTATAAAACAATATTAAATGATGCTATTTTAATTAAAAAGGCTAAGTTGTTAGCTGAAGGGTTAGAAATTTCTGAAAATAGTTTATAATTTTTAAATGATTAGCTTTAAGAATTTAAGAAGCGTAATGAAATTCATCAGAAAAAACTTTAAGGAGAAGCAGCATCTACTAATGAAACTGTCATTCTTGAAGCTTTACCATTATTACATAAAAAATGTGCTAATTATTCTCTTGAAAAAATTTATAATATAGATAAAACAAGGCTTTTTTATAAGTATATTTATTAAATTTACAATTTTATATAATATCTTTTACTAAATATAAATGTTTTTTGCAGGTTAGAATTAGATTGAATATTAGTTACAAAATGTCTTTTTAGGCATAAAAAAAATAAGAAATGTCTCTCTATAGCTTTATATACAAATGTTAATAGATTACATAAATTATCTTTCTTAATAATTAGAAAGTAAGGTGTTTTAAAAACATTAATATTTATAATTTACTAATGATATATAAAAGTAACAATAAAGTATGAATACTTATAACTTTTTTTCAAGATTGATTTTTTATTTGATTAACAGATTGGCCAAAA